ACCCGATAAACCCTAACGCGATGAACCCGCAACCCGACTAACCCGCAACCCCTTTGAACCCGAACCCGATTGAACCCAGCCCAAACTCGCCCGAACCCGCCCGATTGACACCTATAGCTCCCACTGCATAGTCACTAGCATCACACATGAGCTCGAAAGGAAGACTCCAATTCGGCGAGACCATTATGGGGACATTTGTAAGCTTCTCCTTAAGGATGTTAAAACTTTAGAACATTCCCTTGTGAAAAGGAGTGGGACATCCTTCTCTAAAAGCTTGGTCAAGGGTAATGCAATCTTCGAGAAGTTCTCAATGAACGGTCGGTAAAACCGAGCATGCCCAATGAAACTCCTGATGGCCTTGACCATGGTTGGTGGAGGGAGCTTGCTTATTGTCTCAACTTTGGCTCGATCCACCTCAATTCCTCTCTTGGAGATTTTGTGACCCAACACAATGCCCTCCAAAACCATAAAATGCGACTTCTCCCGACTCAAAGCTAGATTGGTTTCTTCACATCGCTCAAGGACCTTCTCCAAGTTGGAAAGATAATGAGAGAACGAATCTCCGAACACCGAGAAGTCGTCCATGAACACTTCCATCATCTCCCCCACTAGCTTATCAAAAATGACTACCATGCATCTCTAGAATGTTGCCGGGGCATTGCACAATCCAAACGGGATGCGCCTTTAAGCTAATGTTCTGAAGGGGCATGTGACTATTGTCTTGACTTGATCTTCTGGGGCGATTGGAATATGGAAGTATCCTGACATCCTATCTAGGAAGCAGAAGTAATCGTGTCCAACGAGCCTCTCCAAGATTTGATCGATGAAAGGCAAAGGGAAGTGATCTTTACTAGTGGCATCGATTAATCTTCGATAGTCGATGCACACCCTCCACCCCGTCACCATTCTTGTTGGTATAAGCTTTTCCTTCTCATTGGATACCGCCATCATTCCTCCCTTCATAGGAACTAACTGGGTTGGACTCACCCACTGGCTATCCGTGATAGGGTAGATAATCCCCACATCCAATAGCTTAATCACTTATGCTTTCGCCACTTCTTCCAGATTAGGATTCACTCACCTTTGCGGTTGCTGAACCGGTTTGGCACCCTCCTCTAGTTGGATCTTCTGTGAACAAAAGTTTGGCCCAAATCTCCGGATATCTGTGATCTTCCATGCCATAACCCTCTCGTGACGCCTTAGGACCCTAATTAATTCCGCCTTCTGCTCCGGTGTAAGATTGGCGTTGATGATGACTAGAAGCTTTCCATCATCCCTCAAAAAGGCATATTCGAGGTGAGGAGGCAGAGGCTTCAACTCCAACACGGGGGCTTCCTCTAAAGAGGTAGGGAATGTAACCTCTTCCTCCCCTGCCCTAAGCACCAACTTTTCCCCATGAACATCAATCAAACCCTTGGAGGTGGCTAAGAAAGGCCTACCCAAGATGAGGGGGGCCTCCACGTTCTCATCAATGTCTAAGATGACGAAGTCAACAGGATAAATGAGAGGTCCTACCTTAATGAGCAAGTCCTCCACAACACCTTTAGGCCGTACTATAGACCTATCCACCAATAGAATGTTCATCCTAGTGGATCTAAGTTCTCCTAGTTCTAGCTTTTGAAACAACTTATAGGGCATCACATTTATACTAGCTCCTAGATCTGCCAAATATTTTCCTATGCACATGTTACCAATAAAGCACGGGATAGTGAAACTCCCTGGATCTTTGCGCTTTGCAGGCAATTGGTTCTGCAAGATGGTGGAACATTCCTCATTCAAGCTCACCGTTGCTACCCCCTCTAGATTTTTCTTGTTTGTGAGGAGGTCCTTCAAGTATTTGGCGTACTTGGGCATTTGGGTAACGGCCTCCATGAAGGGGATGTTCAAATGCAACTGGTTCATTAACTCCATAAAGTGGGCAAACTCCGCTGCCATGCGGTCATTGCGGAGTCGGGAAGGATAGGGGAGAGTTGGGGTTGATTTTTTCCTTCTCTTGCTCCGGTTGAGGGGTCGGATTAGAATTCTCTTTTTCCTTTTCACTTGTGGCCTCCTGCTGTGCGGGGAAGCTACCAGCCACTTGTTGCTCCTCTGTTGCGAGAGGCTTCTTCTTTGGGGGTAACTCCTTGGCCTCTCTTCCGCTTCGAAGAGTAACCACCCCTACTTCTACTTCGTCGGCTGGCTTCCAAGAACGAGTTGCTAGTGAGATAATCCCTACACTTGTGGCCAGGGTTGTCAGACGGGTTTGCTGGCTCTCTAAACCCACCTCGATGGTCGAGGACTTCACTGTTGCCTCTCCGATGAACCTGTCAATTCTTTCAAACTTTCCCGAGCTGGAGGCGACTAAGGTCATCACTAACTCCTCATGGGGGGGTCATCCGGTCGCCATACACAGGGGCGATGGAATAGAGTTGCTCGCATGGGGCCGATTCCTCACTCACCATGTGCCACTCAGCCTCCTCATGGTCCTCACTTGTACCCCACTTAATAGATGGCACTACTCCATTTTCTTGCTCCTTGTCTTTGATAATCACCTCGATCAACTTGTCAAGCGTCGCTTCAAGTGGAGCGCTTGCTTGCGCCACACTTCTCACTCCTCTATCATTACTTTTTCTCCCGCTCCTCGTCAAACCCCAATCGTAGCCCTTGAGGGCCATGTCCTCGAGCAATTGGTTCATTTGTGGTGGAGTCATATTCATCAATTTCCATTGACAAAGCGAGTCAATGAGAATCTTGTCCTCTTGGATTAGTCCACAATAGAAAGTTTCAATCCGAAACTGCTACTCGAACCCATGGTGAGGGCATTGAAGAAAGTAATCGGAGAATCTCTCCCAAGCATCCCGGAAGGTCTCGTCTTCTTCTTGCTCGAAATGGGTGATCTTCTTCCTCCACTCGGCCGTCTTCGAAGGCGGGCAGTAGCTGGTCATGAATTTGTTGAGAAGATCATCCCATGAGGTGATTGAACGAGGCGGGTTGTTGTTTAGCCACCAGATTGCTTTCCCCGCAAGTGAATAGGGGAAAAGCCTCAGTTGCAAAGCTTCAGCCGACATGCCATTGAATTTCAAGCTCACCGTGAGCTCCAGGAATCTCTGCACATGCTCTCTTGGTTACACACACTTTCAAAACTGGAAATTAAAAGCTAGATTAACACCAAACAACTTTTTCAAGATAACAAAACGTTGTCCCCAGCATCGGCGCCAAAAACTCGACTCGTCCAGAGTATCACAATTAATTCCCACGTAAGGTTGATAGCGTTGTATTTGCACATGTTTTCACCCTTGTTTCTTAACTGTTTTGTCTCAAATTTGTGGTTTTTTTGCCTATTTTATGCTAGGTTGTGTTATTTTGTCATATTTCAGGTCCTAGCACGTAAAGTGAAGCATAGGCGCAAGTTTCAAGTCAATCGGAGATAATTTGGCAATTCGGGAGAAGAAACTCGAGCATGACCTGAGGAAGAATGAATTTCTACCTCATATTATGGACAAATAATCATGGAATCTTATCATGAAAAGAAAGAGGACTAGAATACGAGCGTCTGGGATCAAACAGCGACTGATTCAGAGTCCGGTTGAGGGAGAAACGAAGCATTAAACAGGCACGGAGGAAGAAATACGGGCAGGAGAAATACGATCGTATTTTCCCCTCCCATGCCCGTATTTTCACGGTCGAGAGGAGCCTTGGATGCGCTGAAACTTAACCAAAACGCGCGTTTTGGGCAAAATACGGGCAGGGAAGAATTACGACTGTAATTCAGCCCGTATTTCGCCAAGAATCGGGTTTTTGAGGCAGATTCGAGCCAAAGGTGAGGGGATTGACTTTATGGAGCAAAAATAGAGTTTAGAGAGAGAAAGTGCGAAGAACAAACCCTAGGAGCTATTTGGAGTGGATTTCTCACCATCGAAGCCCAGATTGCATCCCCAGGAGTTAAGATCATCATCCTGGAGCAGATTATCCTCATTGTTATGAGTATGACTACTCTCATTTCGGTTTTCCTCTCTCTCTCTCTCTCTATGGAGTAGAACTTTCTCTGACTTGGGTATGAAGAACCCTAGTTCCATGTGTTAGGAATCTTGTTTGTAATGACTTGGGATTGTTATACTGATTGATTTTAATCGATTGATGCATGATTCATTGAGTCAATTAAAGCCTGATCATCTTTTCTTGATTTCTGTTGCAACCTGAGATATATAGAATCTGATTAGGTTGTTAGAGCTTTATCAATCGGTAGTGGTAGATTGGTTATACGAGAGTTAATCGATTTACTGCTTTGTAATGGAATCCAATTCCAGTAGTGAAGTTCTACGTTCATAGCCTCAGCTTTCTATCCCGGTGAAGATTAGTCGTCTGCCGGGTAGTTGGACTGAGAGGGCTTGGTCAGCTTAAGAGATTCCAAGCTACTGTCGGATCTTCCGCAGTTAAATCAACAGTTAATCAACCCAGGGTAATTACAACTGTGACCTAACTAAGGAGCTAGGGGGACTCATTTCCGAGTGACTCTTCCCTAGCTTTAGAAAACCGAACCATTTTCTGCTTTCTTACTGCTTTTAGTTAAACTCACAATCACTGGACTTTGTTTGCTAGATAATAGATATTCACGGAGTAGGCAGTAGATCTGGACCCCGGGTTGACAAATAGAGCTTGCTTGTTACTGCATTTCCAGACTGTGATTATACTTGGTCACAGTTTGGTGTTGTGTTTTAGCGTGTCAAGTTTTTGGCGCCGTTGCCGGGGAACTCTTGGTTATTGTAGAAACGTGAAAATCTGTTACTTTAGCATTTACTTTTATGCATCCTCTCTTTTCCACCCTTGCTTTTCACTTGGGTATTTTGTTTTTTTTGGTACAGATCTGATACATGGATCCTCATGGCTTCTCCAACCATTGGGGGTATCCACCACCACCCGAGTGGTATTACCCCGACACTTCCTGAAGCAACCAAGGAGGAGAAGACTATGGAGTCTGGTCTCAATACCAACCCCCTACTACGAAGAAAAATCAGATCCTTGGATATTTCAAGAAGAATCTCATTATCAAGAAGAATTCCTCCCACAACTAGATGGGCCATCAGATCTTGATTTAGCCACTTGAGGCTTCTCGTGGAGCAGATTGCTCGAGTACCTGAGAGATCCTTTTCCGAGATGGATCCTCATATCCAGGCCATTGCCCAAACTGACTTCTCATTTCCCCATGAAACAGAGGAGACCCTTCGGAGCATCAAGAAGCACATAGAGGTCATTGAGAAAGCTTATGCACAGTTTTCTCAAGACAACCTTTATGCTACAATACAAGCAGAGAAGGAGGAAGAAGTCAATCATGAGAATGTCGTGGAGCATACAGAAGTTGTCACGAAGAGCTCTCGTGATGATCATGATCAGAAATGTCTTGTTGTAGCCGCCCATCCCTTTCTGAAACCCACACTGAGCGCTGAAGAGGCGGGCATGAGTGAGGAGATGCAAGCTGATCTTATTGAAAAGATTGCATGGCGACTTGCTCTCCAATCCGTGCTAGAAGAAGAAGAGCGAGAAAGGATGAGGAAAGAAGTTGTGGAAGATGACAGAAGTGAATTAGAGGAAGTCCTTGATCTTTTCCCAAGGGAGGAATCAAATTATGAGGAAGGAAGGAGGGTTGAAGAAGCAATTGGCGTCCAGGCTAAGGATGAAGTTGAGGTGGAAGAGGCTTGCACCGGCCATGAGTTACATGTGATATCTCCACCAAACTTCAAGGAGCTGCTTGGAAAGGACCCATTTGCAGTGTCTCTTTGCCAGACCAAGGCCACATCAACATCGGTCCCTCTTGGTGGACGCGATGGTGGTCGCTCGATGCTGTCATATCTGGTTTGGGGCAATCAGATGAGTGAGGAAGAAAAGAAGAGGTCTCGCGGGTGGAGACTTCATATTCATCAAGTACAGGAGCCTACATCACCTATCATACCACCTGCTTGTGACTTGAGACCCCACATCATCGACGAGAACCTCAACTTCAAGGAGGTTCTAGCATGGACCGAAACTTAGGAGCCACCGTCCAACTCACGACGGTAAAGAAGCGCTTGTGGGGAGGCAACCCCACCACGGTTTGTTTTTATTTTGTTTTTTTCGGTTTCAACTTGGAACTATGGTTTCTTTCACCCAGTGTGTGTGTGTTTTCATGACTCTAGCTCTGTGCTAGTTGGACTGGTCCATTTCCAGTCTCCTGCTCTTGACTAGTCTGCCTTCGAGTCACCGTTACCGCTCATCATTTCCTGGTAACATCGTTCCCCTTCCCTCTGCTCTATTGAGGGCAATGTCGAACTTAAGTGTGGGGGTGCTTTGTCTTTATTGGAACGTATATGTGTGTGCTTGTAGCCTAGTCCGTTGTCCAAATTTCGAGATTTGAGGGTTCCAAGTAGTGCTGTTGGCTTGATCATATTGGCACTGTGGGTTTAATTAGTGAATCACATGGCTTTCGAATTGATGCATGACAACTGGATTGTGACTAGGACAACCTATAACGATAATTAAGACGTGCAGTAGAGTTGTGTAGGGGTTCAGTTTTTCAACTGTTTGCTTACCAATTGAGACTTGGATTGATCACTTGTTCTTGACAGTCGTTTATGCATCTAGTTTAGGGAATCAGAATGAGAGATAGAGCATATAGGTAGCCATGTGAGATTTGAGCATGCTCGTTTCTTTCTTGTGCAATAGTTCCCTCTTCCATGATGTGTAGCATTCACGTTGTCATTAGCTAAGATGATGGAGGCATAGGATTAACCCACAACCAAATTGATTGTCCTGGTGTGTCATACCCCCTAGTCAGCCCTTTGAGCCATGTGTTGTTCTTTCTTTCGGTCTACAATGGAAAATCACCCTTTTGCATCTCTTAGAAGGTTCCACAGAGTGGTTTTTACATGTTCTCTGTTGTTTCTGCTAAATATAAGGTGAGGGTTGGAGGTAATGCTTAAAAATTGGGCATGTGTTTGAAAAATGTGCAGAGGTTGTGGTTCTCTCAAGAAATGAAAAATGAAGAAAAAAGGAAAAAGCAAAAAAATGAAGGAAAGCAAAAGAGAGCCACTACCCAAAAATCCGAATCATGCTCATTAAGTAGTGTTTCTTAGCAGTTTGGCTTAGAAATACTAACATTATTGTGACCTCCTTCGCTCTTGTGTTCTAAAGAAGAACTTGAGTAATGCAGAATGGCAGGAAGAAAGTAAGTGGTGTGAATGACTGTGAGTTTGTTTGGCTTGGAACTGTGGAACCTTGTGTTACTAATACTTCCACCACCTAAAAGGCTTTTTCCCCATGTCCAAGACCCTAGCCAGTCATTTGAACCTGTGTCTAAGACCTCCGGATTAGTTAGTGGTGACACCCAATATGTGAACTCTAACATTTAGAGGTTGTCGTCATGGTGAAGAGACGTTAGGGAGTGAGAGTACGAGTATGCACATCTTGCATCAAATTTTGTCCTGACCCCACTGGTCTACAGTGAGCGATTCATTTCCTTATATTCTCTACACTCTTTACCCCGGTGAGGACCTAGAGTGCTCGGTCTTAATTCTGATGTCTTGAGTTTTATGCATGAGGTGACTATTTTGAATAAGTGGTTGATTCAAGTCTATGTTGGTTAGTGAACAGAAGAGGGACTCTTCCTTTACCCAATTTTGCTGCACTCGAATGTCCTCTGTGGTGATTGTCCAGGTTGTTGTTGAAGTTATCCATGTGTTGATGTCTAAAAGCTAGTATGACTCCCGTGTTTCGTGCCTATATGATATGTCCCCAAGGGTTTCATGGTTAAAATGTTTAGAGCTTACATTGTATCTGACTTGGTTTTCTTGGGGACAAGCAAACGGTTAAGTGTGCGGGAGCATCGTATTTGCACATGTTTTCACCCTTATTTCTTAACTGTCTTGGCTCAAAATTTTGGTGTCTTTGCCTATTTTATGCTAGGTTGTGTTATTTTGTCATATTTTAGGTCCTATCACGTAAAGTGAAGCATAGGCGCAAGTTTCAAGTCAATCGGAGATCATTTGGCAATTCGGAAGAAGAAACTCGAGCATGACCTGAGGAAGAATGAATTTCTACCTCATATTATGGTCAAATAATCATGGAATCTTATCATAAAAAGAAAGAGGACGAGACTACGAGCGTCTGGGATCAAACGGCGACTGATTCGGAGTATGGTTGAGGGAGAAACAAAGCATTAAACAGGCGCGGAGGAAGAAATACGGGCAGGAGAAATACGAACGTATTTTCCCCTCCCATGCCCGTATTTTCACTGCCGAGAGGAGCCTTGGATGCGCTGAAACTTAACCAAAACGCGCGTTTTGGGCAAAATACGGGCATGGAAGAATTACGACCGTAATTCAGCCCGTATTTTGCCTAGAATCGGGTTTTTGAGGCAGATTCGAGCCAAAGGTGAGGCGATTGAATTTTTGGAGCAAAAACAGAGTTTTAGAGAGAGAAAGTGCGAAGAACAAACCCTAGGAGCTATTTGGAGTGGATTTCTCACCATTGAAGCCCAGATTGCATCCACAGGAGTGAAGATCATCATCCTGGAGCAGATTATCCTCATTGTTATGAGTATGACTACTCTGATTTCTGTTTTCCTCTCTCTCTCTCTCTATGGAGTAGAACTTTCTCTGACTTGGGTATGAAGAACCCTAGTTCCATGTGTTAGGAATCTTGTTTGTAATGACTTGGGATTGTTATACTGATTGATTTTAATCGATTGATGCATGATTCATTGAGTCAATTAAAGCCTCATCATGTTTTCTTGATTTATGTTGCAATCTGAGATAGATAGAATCTGATTAGGTTGTTAGAGCTTCATCAATTGGTAGTGGTAGATTGGTTATACGAGAGTTAATCGATTTACTGCTTTGTACTGGAATCCAATTCCACAGTTAAGTTCTGCGTTTATATCCTCATCTTTCTATCCCGGTGAAGATTAGTCGTCTGCCGGGTAGTTGGACTGAGAGGGCTTGGTCAGCTTAAGAGATTCCAAGCTACTGTCGGATCTTCCGAAGTTTAATCAACAGTTAATCAACCCTGGGTAATTACAACTATGACCTAACTAAGGAGATAGGGGGACTCATTCCCGAGTGACTCTTCCCTTGCTTTAGAAAACCGAACCATTTCCTGCTTTTAGTTAAACTCACAATCACTGGACTTAGTTTGCTAGATAATAGATATTCACGGAGTAGGCAGTAGATCTGGACCCCGGGTTGACAAATAGAGCTTGCCTGTTACTGCATTTCCGGAATGCGATTAAACTTGGTCACAGTTTGGTGTTGTGTTTTAGCGTGTCAAAGGTTCAAGTAAAACCTTAGTAGGGTGCAATACAAGGCAAGTATGTTTAAATATCGACCCGGTCCGGTCCGTGTACCCCTACTTCAATTGTTTGAAACATTATCTAGCGAATCGGTTTTGGTTGAAAATTTTGCGAATTAAAGTAAAGCAAGGCAAAAGTAAATGTTTTTAAAAGCTCTCTGTGAGAAGGATCACTCGGGTTTCGCTTCCCCCTAACTACTACCATGGCACGAGGAATTGAATTAATTGTTACGGGCAAGGTGACCGCGAACTGCTAGGAAACGCAACTATGGTCGTAGACCACACTCTCGTTTGCCAAACCAAGGGATACATTATAGGCTACTCAAGTAGCCCTCTTGGTTAAGGTAATCGATGGTTGATTTTATCTCTCGCTCAACCCAGTGGTTGGTCGGCTTAATTGTGCTTAACCAAATTTCTTAACTCAATATAGAGGTTTGCCCTACATTAACCTAGTTAGGTGGCTTAAAAAGCCCAAGGAATTCCAACTAAATTGAGCCTCCCTTGAAAGGGGTTTTCCCTCTAATCTAGGTTAGAATGGCCAATTGGATTGCTAAGCACAAACATGCACAATCAACATGAAAAGTACCTCAATCATTGAATTAAACAACACACATAAACAATCATTCAATTCACACAACAACTACATGGCAAATAGTTAGGGTTTCACAACACCCAAAGGAAAAAGGAAACTACTCCATGCTAGAAAAGGGAAGAACACAAGAGGAAGAGGTAGAAACCATCATGGTGATGCCTCCAATCTCCTTTGAGCTTGTGTTGATTTTCTCTTGGGGAGAATCTTCCCAATCCACCAGTTGGAGCAAACCCTAGCCTTCTTTCTTCCTTGGTTCGATCTTTCTCTCTCTAAAATCTGAAGAAGAAGACACTTTCTCACTCTTGGGCTGCCCCTCTCTCTTCCTTTCAGCTCACATTATATACCAGGATCGGGCTCAGTTCTCGGTCGTGAACTTTTCAACGCGTCCGTGAACACAGAGCGCAATGTCGAAACGCACCGCTTCGCCATCAGGAGTTCACGGTAGTAACTGATGATTTCCCTGGATGCATTGCGGTTCACGGTTTTGGGCTTCAGTTCATCGCCATAGTGGATCATGAACTCCAATGCTAACCCGTGAACTCTGCCTGGATCACCCTCTTTGATCGGTCTTCGCCTCGTTTTGTCCAACTTTCGACTCCGGGGCTGGTTTCACCTGTTGGATCCTGAAACACACTAAAATGCATAAAACTTAGCGTAAAACCACCCTTTTAGGAGTCCAAATGCTACAAACGACCAAGGGAAACAGAGATAAAATGTGTGCAATTAGGCTTGAATCACTAAGCACACCACAAATATTTCTAAAGTGCAAGAAAAAAACCTCCTAATCCATAACACAAATCTCCTAAAGTATACCAGAAACATAACAAAGCAGACCTTAAATATTCTATAGCACACCAGAATTTTTTTAATGCTGACCATAAATCTCCTTAAACATACCAGAAACACCACAAAGCAAATATATTTAAATGGAATCTATTTATTGTTGTGCTTATGAGGAAACATGTAAAGGGGAAAAAAGAAACTGATTCCTTTAGATGTTCATTTAAATAGAGAGTTTAAAAATAATAAATGTTCATTTAAATGACGTGCACTGCACGCGGGCTGCAAGGACCGAAAATGCTACTGGTTAGATTTTCATAATAACCATTTTGTCATTTTTTAATTTTACACTGTATAAATTGGGTCAACTTAACTCATTAAAAAGTAAGCACAACCTTGAATTTCTATTGGTTGGACGCTTATGTTGTTACCATAACAACAAATAGGGTGTTGTCACCATATATGGTCCCAAACTAGACCTATGTGAATTGAGACCCACTAGATTGAGTGTTACTTTAACTAACCATTCTGTGATTAGTTCTAGAGGCATTGTGGAGGACGTTCTAGTACGGGTGAGTACTATCTACTATCCGACGGATTTTATTATCCTTGATATTCATATTAGTGAGGATGTAGATATGCCCTTTATCCGAGGATGTCCCTTCCTTGTCACCACCAATGCTCTAATCGATGTTAATGTGGGAACATTAATCTTGGGAGATGGTGAGGAGCAAGTCAATTTTAATATTGGGAGATGGTGAGGAGCAAGTCAATTTTGTATTGATCATAAGGTTAACCATGAAAAATGTTAAAGAGGTAGAGTCGAATGGTGTGTTTGTAATTGGAGGTGTTCCTTCCGAGGCAAACCCCACTAGTGCTCCTTGTTTTGTTGGCAATGTAAAGCAGGAACCTAAGGCGGGTACTAAGCTCGAAGTGAAGCAAAAGAAGGCATGGCGGGACAAAATGAACCGTGCTTTGGCGCTAAGAAATGAGAAGGGCAAGGAAAAGGCAAAGGCAAAGGGCCTAGAGGTCAACTCTTTTGAAGATGAGATTGGAGGTGATGATCCTCGCACCGGAATTGTGACGGATCCACTCTCGGAGGCCTCATGCTCGCAATCATGATGATCCGCAACGTCTAGCTAAGGACGTAAACAAGCGCTTGTTGGGAGGCAACCCAATGTCGGTTCATATCCTTTTCTTTATTTTTCTTTCTCTTATTTTTTGAGCGTTTGAGTCAAGTGACTGAGTTTTGAATAAATCGTATCACTGTTTATGTGTTTGAATGCTTGAATGAGTCATGATTGAGTTTGAGGCACAGTTGAATCGATTGAGGCTTGAGAAATGTGGATTTGCCCTGTTTTTATGATTATCACAGTTTTAGTGATATTATCACGGTCGTCAGACCGTGATAATGTGATGCATATCGTGATATTGACTAGCATATTTTACGATTTGCAGACATCACGGGCATAGGGAAATTATCATAAGCAAGTGCCCGTTATGTCAGACCGACAATGATGTCCGCCCAAAACTCACCATTTTTGGTCGAGATCACGCTCGCAGAGTTAGTATCACGTTTAGTCGATCGTGATGATTGAATCCTGCGCGTGATCCTTGATCTCGGGCTATATAAAGCGACCATGAACCCTTCTTATTCACGAGACATTTTCGCAGAAATTCACTGAATCTCTTATCGGAAAACATCGCCTCCGACGGTTTTCGACGATTTGATCCGCTTCTGGCCGTCAAATCCCAAAACTAAACACACACCCAAACTCCCCAAGCCAAACGCATCTTTGCCAAGCTTTTGGTAGAGTTTGGTTCACTTTTTGTCGCATATAAAGTTGCTCTGGCGAGACTCCGTCGAGCTTCAGGCAAAGCTCCGACGACCCTGCTAGCCATTTTTTTTGGCTGATTTTAGAATCCTTACCCTTCTCCTCACCTTCCTCACTAATCCTACTTCAGTCTCCAAGTGTTTATTCATCTTTTACTTGCTTAATTTTGGAGTATTGGATTTAGGGTTCTCAGGTGAGGAGAATTTGGATTTTTGCATAAATGAATGAAATTAAATGTGGGATTTGATGAATGATGGTTAATGGTATGTTGCTAGAGTAGTAGATGAGATTATTTTGCCTTGGTTGGCTGGATTTTGTATGTTTTGGTGATTGAATTGAGAAATTCCCAACAAGTATTTGCTTTATTTTCTATCTTTGATACACTTTTTTGCATTTTGAATCGTAGTCATCGAGGCATGATCTAGGATTGCAACTACAAACTTTATGATCTATGAAACACTTATTTTCATTCCTTGGTGTATCTTGTGGGTATTTGAACCTAATTATTGATAAATTGAGCTTGTGAATGGCCTATGAAGGCATGTTGCCAATGTGGAATCTTAAGTGTGGACGAGTTAGCTTTCTCCCCAATGTGCTTTGTCTAATGAATGTTTCCATGTATAGTGTGTGTCTTTTGATTATTTTGTAGGATGGTTGACCCTAACCACCCATACATTCACTATTTGGTGAATCACCTAAAGTATGGAGACGAGTTCGAGACTTGGCGCTCCCCCGACATCGGACCCCACTAGAGCTTGGACTTGGACATGCTCAACATGTTCAGGTGTCGATCCGCGATCTTTGGAGCGATAGCCCATCCTCAATGGTGCAACCTCCTCACCATCAACGAGCTCATATATCACGAGCTCTATGTGAAGTTCTATGCCACATTCATCCGCAAGGTGCCGAAGGGGCAACGCAACTGACCCTTCGCGGAGTTCATGCTCGGAGGAGTGCACCATACCATAGGATAAGATACCTTGGAATAGGCTCTAGTCCTCGACATCAACATCATTAGGGGTGCTAAACGGTCGATAACTGGTTTAACCAGCTACCGTTCCAGTATACCAGAATTTCCCAAACCGCTGCCGTTAGCCGATACCGAGAATAATCGGAATTACCGTTTACCGATAGGAATGGTTTTGGTAATGTGTTAGGTTTCCCAAATTTTAGCAGGCTTGCTTGCTGCGGGCGGAATTAAAAGCGCATGTTTCTCAATTGTCAATTCCATCTCATTGTCCATTTGTGTCCTCTTGTCTACTAGTGGAAGAAAATAAATATAAAGTGGAAGACCATCATTATTCATTCATTCGAGCATATGGAAGCGATCAAGGGAAGGAAACTCCACATGACACATTATCTTGTCTCATTGTCTTGTCTGCTAAAGACTAAAGTGCTAATGAAATAAACAAAATCCAAAAAGTAAATTTCATAGACAAAGAGCAAATACCAAAAGTCTAAATGTCTAATTGCTGGAAGGTTTAAATGAAAAAAATGATTATGCTTGTCTCATTTTTCTCATTGCTGCTTCTAAAATTTTAACTTAAATTCCAAAAAAGGATCAAAATTCACAAGTAGTAGTATGTGGCTAATGCATGAAAGAAACAAAATCATTGGTTCGGTGGTTCCTAACTTGCCACCAACTCCTCCTTCTCCACTAGGACCTCAACCACCAACATCAGCACACCCTTGTTTCTTCAAAATTGTGAGAAGAGCATAATCACCATCGTCCTCATCATCCTCCTCATCTTCGTTTAAATCTTCCTCCACGTCATCTTTGTCATCCTCCTCCTCCACCACAACAGGTAAACTTTGTCTTTCACTTTGACTTGGCATGGCATTAACACTTTCAATTCGAGCTTGGAAGTTAGAAAAGACTAGGTGTAAAAAAGTACAAATTGTTAGAATTCACCTAATAATATGTTATTGGAAAATCAGTAAAGGAATGCTTAAAAATAAATGAGATTATGAATTCTTACCACTTTCATAATCGATTTGGTCTTGATTTTCATCTTCTTTATCATCAACTTTGTCTGCTTTCTTCCCTCCTTCATACCTTATTCAATCTTCATCACAAATCAAGGCTTGTACAATGGTGGGGCTCAATGAAGACCTAAACGGGCTGAGCACTCGACCTCCACAACTGAAAGCCCCTCTGAGGCGACAGAGGAGACTGGAACAGCTAGGATATCCTTAACCATCTGGGAAAAAAATATGATATCTAATACTGTTCTTACTCCACTACAATAAGATGTCAAACTTCATATCATTATCATCCTCGTTAATAGCATCATCAACATCTCTTAAGTAGATGTCTAGCTCAGAAGAACCTCAAATCCCCCTCTAAAGTTGCTCCTTTCTCATCTTCTTGAATTCAACAACAAATGTCCCTCCATAAGATGCAGATCTAGTACCATCATCAGCACTAGCCAGTAGGAGTTGTCTGAACAGTAGGCTCGGAGGGTTGAGTTGCATATTTCAATATGTAAACCTCAAACATTGCAGTCATATCTCCAGTCACTTCTTTCTTCAAATCGTCTCATTTCTTATTCCATACATCTTATCCAACATCCAAGACAAATAAACCATTTACGTCTAGGATCCATCACACAAGCCATGTAAACCAGCCTATTTATCCTTAGGTTCTCCACCTCATTATCATCATCATCATTCTCAAACCAATACTGTCATACCTTTGCCTCCATTCTTTCTGTCATCCACTGTATCTCTACATCCATGTCTTTCTTAAAAAAGTTCTATCACATAATAGATGTCAACAATAGCTTTGAAAAAAGTATGAGCACTCACATAAGATGTTCCTGATACATCCAAAAATAACAATATATATTCACAAATTACAAGTTAATAAAAGTAAGGGCTAATACCACTACAACACCTGAACTATCGAAAAAATGTCTCTTGTATCCTATTGTATTCAATATTCCAATCCTGTCACAACATATAAAGCTTTTTGACATTTATATCTCTCCAATTTTGTTGACTGTTAAAAATAAAGGTTGACCAAATGGTGATCAAACTAGTGTTGACTTTTGTTGACGTGGCAAAACACATAATAGATGCCACATCATTCTCATAATTATTTTTCAATTCAAAATTTAGTTAGTTTAAAAAATAACCAAAGAAAGGCTAGGGGAGGGGGGAGAGCTAATCGCCGGCGGTGGGCAATTTGCGGAGCCATACAAATCTTCTCTGCCCCCACTCCCCATCATCCTCGCCGGAACTCCCTGCGGTGGACATCAGCAACAAGAGGACAGAATACCTGATCGATTAATACCTTCCCGATTTCCCAATCTCTCACGTCCAACCAAATCGATTTATGCCTCAAAAGAAATTTCCTTTACCTGAACTCAAAGCCTCCACAATTTGAGCTACGAGCCTACGACCTTAAATTTCCTCCACCAATATCCTTCATCTTCCATCCCCTCTCTCCGCCGCTATCGCCATCTTTTCACTCACAGCAACCGCCTTCAGCACCTCATGCGCTATTAGTGAGTGTGCTAGACTCGACGGATTTCCAGATGGTTGACTCATACCCAGATCCAAATTTGGTGTGAGTGGTGGAGATCTCGGGAGATGAGCGAAGCTCGAAGCGAGAAAATTAGTTGATTTGAAAGGTCGGGAGAATATTTGAAGAAAACCCAGATCCACATATTGATTTTTTTTTGTGTCAAGTGATTGTTCTTTGAGAGTCAATAGAACCCCGCCAAAGATAGTGGAGCTAGCGGAGGCGCCGAGTCCTTGGAGAATGAATTAAAGTGACCGAGGAAGCGTTTATCCTCGACTGAGAAATAGCTTGAAGGGGTAGGGATGTGGTGTCTAATCGATTGCGAGGTATATCACACAACCGCAGGCTTGAAGATGCCCACCAGAAAACTTGGGAGATGCCAGCACAGTGTTGTTCTCGTGGCGGGAAGGGGTTGAAGACGACGGTGAAAATGAGAAATTTGGGGCGAGGGGATGGGGACAAAAGAATCGAAGTTATAATTTTTATTTTGTTAAGTAAATTAAATACAAACCAAAATTGAATTTCAAATTCCACGTTAGATACCAAATCAATGCTGACTAGACTTTCTGTTAAGTACTAACGGTCAACGCTGGTCAACACTAAGAGAAAAATAGTTCAGGATACAAATGGAATATTGAATAAAATAGGACACAAATGAAATTTTTGGTATAGTTTGGGTGTTGTAGTGGTATTAGCCCTTAAAGTAAAAACCGTGAATTCGAATAGGTGGAGTTTTGTTCACATACCCGATACCGGAAAGGTGAGCTCATAAAAGAACTTCAAATACTTCATTAGCCGCCGAATACTGCTCCAATATTCCTTAGTTGGAAGACCTCTATCTGAGTCCACATAATCTCGAAATGCAGAATCATTGGGGCTCGAATGCATGAAGTTAAAAACAAGTTCAAACTTTTCTACTGATTCCAACATCAAATAAGTTGAGTTCCACCTAGTTGGAATATCCAAAGATACAAGTCTTCTTCCATCCATTTCTAGACATGCATGCTAGACCTGAACTTTGAACTCCTAGCTGGTGATGACTTCACCCATTTCACACAATCTCAAACCCTTTCTATATCGACTCCAACCTCCTTCAACCCATCCGACACAACCAAATTGATTTTATGTGTCACACATCAAAATTGCAAATATCCTTCCCTATGTGACTAGTGATGGGAACAAAGCTAATGATCCTCTTCTGCAGCTTCCTGTCACTCCTCTTCAGAAGTCCATGTATCTGTGGTGATAGAAATTCTTCCTTTGCACTTGGATTTGAAGAACTCAGATAGCAACTCTTTTTCTCCAAAAAGATGATATAACAATCCTGCCTTATTGTCTGTCTACCATGTATCACAAACAATGATTGGGTTACCGTCATAAACCCCTCATGCTTCACAAAGCGAAATGGCAGTTCATCCAAAATGATCATTATAGCTAATGTAGTTCTAGCTTTTTGTTGATCAATTTCCAAGGAGTTAGATCGCCTACTTCACCATACCCATGTTGATAGTTCAATAGAGAGCCTACCTCACCATCCCCAGGTTGATAGTTAAATAGTGATTGACCACTGGCTTCCTTCCTCTCACATGCCAAGTTATGGTTCTTCAAACCAGTAGTCCCATTATTGGACGAGTGAGCTTTCATCAGAGCTCCACACTGTTTTCATTTGCCATATGGGTAGCCATCCACCAAAACCTCATCAAAAGGACTCCATAACGACGATCTCTTCTTCCTTCCCACTCTCTTGACATTTTTATTTGGCTCACCCATATGCTCCTCTTCCCATATCAGTCATCTATGTAGCCATAGGTGCTGCAACAGTAGGTGCAGATTCAATGTAAGTGGTAGGTATAGGTGTACTAGATGAGACATTCCCTTGAATCCCTTCTACATCTCCAACACGAGTACCCACTTTTTTGGAAGTGGTTCGAGGAGCAAACAAACCTATTTTTTTGGATCATCTCCTTTACGAGGACGAGAAGGTTTCGTCATGAAACAAAAAGTAAAAAATCATCAAAATGACAACATGCTAAAAAGCAAAAACCATCCACCATAAACATTAAATCATTAAACCACTATCTTAATTCTTATATTTTTTTACTTGGTTTCTCAAGTAAAAAAGTACTGAACAACAAAATTCCCTTATGCTATGCTCGGCTGTAAGCCTATAACTTTTATAATACTTGTATTGCTTCGGCTGCAAAAATGAAAAAAAAAAAACAAATGAATTATTAATGAAACAATTAATCAATTATACACAAGATCACTGCTTTTGTGCTTGGCTACTAGCATACTGCCTACAGGCTACGAGGCTATTGAAAAATGAAAAGTGATAAGTGAAAATATTACATACAATATATACGTCAATATCAGTATATCATAAACTCCTTTCAAGTTTCATCAATGCTCTGTTCGGCTACGAGCCTGCGACAACGAGTCTATGGCAAATACTGAAATACAATATTGAATGAATGAAACTCAGTTGTCGGCTACACAAACACAGGTTACCTCTCAAATTGATGGAGAGCCGGAGAAGACGAGCTGCTAGGCTGTGAGGTCGAGCGATTAAGTTCTGACGGCGACGGGTTTCGACAGAAACAGAGCAACGACGAAAGGGCTTGATCGAAAAAGAGCCTGGCGAATAGGATGACTGGTCTGGATTTGGTCTAGAGGGTCAAATCTCTTGGCCCTTGGGTGGAGCTTGTGCCAGCGATAGAGACGACGGGGTTTGATGGAGACGATTGGGTTCGACGGACACAGAGCAATGACGATGGGGCTTGACAAAAACAGATCCTGGCAGAGAGGATGACTGGATGAGGGTTGTTGGGTCGTGTCTTGGCCCTTGGGTGGAGCTTGCGCCAGCGCCTAAGACAACGTTTGGATTCGAATTTGATGAACGAAGGAGGAGGGATCGACGATCGTGCTCGTGCAATAGGCAGGGGATGCAAATAGAATAATATGTCTGATTTAGATGTCTAATTACTTAGGGGTTAGGGCTTTATGGGTGGCCGACGTTTAGTTTTTCCTACAAATCCTAATCATAGATGGCTTGATTTCCTTTTCCCATTCAGTGTCAAAATAGCGATCAGCCAACGGTAAATGACAGCTTCGATCTCGGTATACCGCTAGCCACAAATCCTCCCCCGATTACCGTTTTCTTTGGTTAACGGTTTAACCAATAACTGCGGTTACCAGTACGGTTATTAGGTAAACCGTTAACCGCATTACCATTTAGCACCCCTAAGCATCATGAGGATGGCTGAGAGGGAGTCCACTCGGGAGGTTAACCCGCATCAGGTGTACGAGGTGATCTGCCTCCTGGAGGAAAGAGATCATCAGTACCACGCCTCCCAAACCCAAGCTACCCATTTCAGGGCCTAGTGTGGGATTCTACATATAATTCTCACCTTATTGGTAATTCCAAGTCTCCAGGCTGGAGGGCAACTGACCCTGCTAGGGATGGTGGCCATATACACCATGAGTCGACCCCATCACCACTTCACCTTGGCTTAGTGGTTTCGATTACATTCTCGAGGATCCTGGGTCGATCTCGAGTGACCATGATGCATATGGAAGCCATCATCACCTGCCTGGGATGATACTTCGGAGTGGACACCACAGGCTGCACAGTGGTGGCTCGAAAAGAGCCTTTCCTAGTCGAGACACTCCACAACATGCATCTAGTGAAGGAGGAGAGGGGTATCGAGTACATTGATGGACTGCGCTCTTCGACTATACTAAGGTCGATTATGGAGGAGGCCCCACAGAGCTAGAGGTACCCCCTCCCCAGCCACCATAGCGGCAATGTCGCCGGACCGGAGCATCTTCATCCTCCATAGGCGATCCTTCTTCCTTGACAGCTATTGACGGTCGAGTGACTCGCCTTGAGCACCAGGTTGTAGGATTCTCTTCCCAGATCACCCGAGAGGTAGATGCCCGTCGCCACTCCCACCAATTGCTAGAAGAGATGGCCCGAGTTCAAGGCATTCAGGCCAAGGACAAGTGGCAGCAATCGCTGCCTCACGAGAGGTAGACGACTTGTGAAACAAGTGGTCGAGCAGTACTTTGCCCCACTTCTCCACTTGGTCTATGAACTATGTTTTTTTTAACTAGTACTACGGTGTTTAATCTACGCTAATCGTGATGTTACATACTATTATTGTGTAATAACCTCGCCTTGTGCGAATTTGTGTGTGCTTGTTTTTGTTTTGTGTTGTTTTCTTGTAAAGCTATCTCCTCTTCTATCCCGATCTAATTTTTGGTTTTCACTTGCCAATGTTCAGTAACTTCTTCATGCTACCCTTGTTTCATTAAGGACAATGTCATGTTTAAGTTTGGGGTCTATTATTTGTGATTGGCGGGTGAAATGGATGTGAATGCATGTTCATAGTGGCCGGTTATGGAGGATCTCGTGGTTAATAGCATTGTATGTGGATGACTTTATTGTGTTGGAGTGCAACCTATAATGATGATTGATATATGAATTAGGTTGGTGCAAGTGTTTAGTTCTCATGTGTTTGGATTGATTACTCATTAACCACAATTTCTATGCATTGAAATTTGGAAGTTGGAATGAATGTTTGAGCATCTAGGTAGCCATGTGAGATTTGTGTCGCTCGTCTTGTTCTTGTGTGTTAGATCCCTCTTACCATGATGTGTAACATTCACATTGTCACTAGCGAGGAAGATGAAGGCATATGATTAGTCCACTGGTGGCTTGCGCGAAGGTCTTTTCTCTGCTCGACCAACGGGTATTATTTCTGGAAGCTGATGTTGCTTGTAGTAACCTAGCAAATACTTGGCGCGAATCGATATCTCATCTTCGGGTAGTTTTGCTCCATTAAATAAGTGTGTGTTCCTCTCCTTTCAGAGATACCAAAGCAGCACGCAAAATTCTTATAGCTTTCCTGGTTCTCCCGTATACAGTACCTTTGCACACCAATTATGGCATGAATCAGTACCTTTGAGAATGACATATGAATTGAAACATATCCAATAGATCGACCCGCTAAGCTAACCCAACCTAAAAAACTACAAGTTAATAGAGTTCGGGTCGTTCAGATTATAAAAATTTCAACCCATTTTTATCTTCGGGCTGGCTCAACTCAACAAGTCGGATCTTCATTTGTCTTAGTTCCAATTTTTTTGTGTGTGTGGACAGTTCCAATTATTTTAAACTTTTGTAATATTTCTCTTTAATGCTAAAATAAAATAGAAGGAAAAAAAAAAAAAAAAGCAGATGAGAGTGGCGTGGGCTTTCTAGAACCCGAATATACTGTCAGCCCACCACCACAACCCGCCCTCTCTCATTCTCCGATCTGGCGGGTTCGAATCACGCGCCAACTCAGGCGAGTGGGTCATTCCTTCTCCCCGAAAAAACTCCAGTGGCAGTACCTCCTCCCACCAAAACCACCCCCAGCTCCCCTCCTTGTATTCCCAATTCCACCAAAAAGTCCAAATCACGCCACCGATTACTCGTGATTTCCTCCTCTCCTCAAGCCGCCGGGGAAAAAAAACTCCCCTCGCCATGTCCGCAGAGCACGACGATGCAGTGTTCGACCACGACCTCGACGACGACGACGAGTCCTCTCAGTCTCAGGACGACGACGATGATCTCGAGAACGACGGCGTCCTTGTCGTTGAAGAAGACGAGGAAGATCTCAATTCCGTCCCTTCCCCTTCCACCCCTTCCCCAGCCACGGCCTCCTCCCTTCCAATCGCTGTCCCCTCCGCCTCCATCGTCACCCTCGCCGCCGCTCCCAACGGCTCCGTCGATCCGCACAAACTCATCCCCTCGGCCGCCGTCCTCCCGGAGGAGGCAAAGCGTCAGAGGCTGACGCTCGTCCCGGTGTTCGAAGAGCAGCGGAAGCCGACTCCTCAGCCGCTCGACAAATCGCGGCAGCTGTTCCAGCGATTGTGGACCGACGAGGACGAGATCGAGCTGTTGCAAGGTTTCTTCGAGTACACGAACCAGCGTGGTGGTGGGAGCCACCACGACACGGCGCTGTTCTACGACCAAATCAAGTCCAAGCTCCAGCTGGATTTCAACAAGAATCAGCTGGTCGAGAAGCTGCGGAGGTTGAAGAAGAAGTACCGAAACGTCCTCAACAAGATCGGTTCGGGCAAAGAGTTCTCCTTCAAGACGGCTCACGATCAGATTACGTTCGAGATCTCGCGTAAGATCTGGAGCAGTACGGGAAAGCTCGCCAGCCTCGAGGATGGGAATTTGGACGATGATGAAGGAAACCCTAATCTCAACAATAACAACGATGGCGGTGGTGGTGGTGAGGATCAAAAGTCCACGCCTCGCCCGCGGAAACGCTCCCGATCTCGTTCCTTAGCCGCTCCTCTCACTCTCGCCAGCTGCAGTGGCGGGGGCAACAGCATCGTCGCCGCTGTGGCAGCCACCGGAGGCGGCAACGTTGGGGGTAAAGTGGATGATAAGCGTGGAGTGGTTAACGATGGGGTTGTTTCCAATAGCAACCACGTGAACAGCAATGCTTATAGTAATGTGAATGTCCCTAGTTTGATTGAGGAGACTGTGAAGAGTTGTTTGTCGCCATTGTTTAAGGAGTTGTTGAGTAACGCTACGTCGGGACCGGGTTGTTCCTCTGGTGGGATTGGTGGTAGAGGAGGAATTGGGGGTTTGGCCATGAATGCGATGCCATTGAGCTTCGGGGGAGTGGAGATGATGGCTAATGAGAAGTGGAGGAAGCAGCAGATATTGGAGCTCGAGGTTTACTCGAAGCGATTGGAGTTGGTTCAAGACCAGATTAGATCACAGTTGGAGGAGTTGCGCTCAGTGGGTAGGTAATCAGCTGACGAATTTGGAGTAAGTTTGCAGCACAAAAGAGTTGCCTTTTAGCTATTGGGGGTGTATGAATGACTATGTAGGGGAAGGAGTAAAAAAGCATCGGCATTTTTTTTTCTCTCAGGACCTTTTTTTATGTGTTTGGGTTATATTATTAGTTATCTGGTCTTTTTTTTTCTTGGGTTTTATTTGACAGAACCAGATGTTGAATAACTAGTCTCTAATTGATCTTAGTGTGTAGAGCTCATAGTCTCTGTTCTACATTGTAGATAATCACTTGATGCATAGATTGGTAATCACTAATAAAGACACAGAGTTGTTAACTTAATTACATCAGTTTGTGCGCTCATTTGCTTCCTTTCCCTCTGCTGTAATCTTGTGATCAGCTGAAAGGCTTCTCGTTCGTTCTCGCCTTTCCCCTCAGCTTTACTCTCATTTGTAATTTTGCTTATCATTGTAGTTTGTGTAGTGTTGTACAGACTAAATGATTGATAATCTACCTCCTGTGGGATTGAATGTTGACATTTGGAGTTGCATCCTGATTTCATTTGGTTTTCTTTCTGCGCGTCTTCGATGTTCATTTCTAAGTTGCAATTCAGCTTGCCATTAGAAGGGTAGAATCTAGCGTTTTTTGTGTCGTCTCCTTTTGTGCAGGAGAAACTTCTTTCTGGTGTTGTGATCGAAAGCGAGCTGCTTGTATGTGATTCACTATAGAAACTGTTCCATGTCGGATGCTTCCCGAGTATGTCTTCTCTAGTAATGCTGTTATTATGATTTTCATTTTACCCTGAGGTTTAACAGGTCTAAAAGTGCCAGCACTGCCTTGGAAAGCTCCTTTGACCTCGCGTCAGGTGGTGTTGAACTGTTTTATTGAGACTGGGTTTTCCTTTGGTATGCGCAGCTAGTTGGAAATGGAACCAGCAAAGTGTACGAGGAGCCCTTTTTTCTCCACTCTTTTCAAGTTTTGACCCGTCTTTTCCTTGCCTCATAAATTTTAATGCTTTGTTCTTTTTACTTTCCTCACTATTTTGTGTTTGCATGGATTGTCTGTTCGTTGAATCTCCTCCCCTGCCATTTCCCAAGTACAAAGTTCAGTGTGATGACAATTACCACAACTTTTTTACTTATTTCTGCAGATCTTGTTCCATTCGTGAAGGATTTCTTCAACCGTTATTGATGTGTCCTTGAACAAATTCAAGTATGAATCTATGGTCGTTGCACCATCATAATTTACACTTGTATTCGCCATGAAAGAATCTATGGTCGTTGCAGCATCATAATTTACACTTGTATTCGCCATGAAAATTTGGATTGATCCAATTGAAACTGAGGTACGAAGAAAAGAATTTTCGAAGAAGGAATTTGGTTGTGAACTTGTGATGTTGAAGCTATAAGCACAAGACCATCTCCAAAGGTTCGGTTTCGTAGCGATCTTCATTTTATGAAAATTACCACCTACGTAACATATTTCCTTTCCGGTCTCTTTCGTATCACCATTCCACCATAGCCCGAGCGTGAACTGTTGAAATGTCATATGCAATAAAATAGTAACCAAATTCATACCATAAAATTTTTCAGCGCTAATCGCAAGACAAACTTAAAATAAAAAGTAGGCAAAATACATCCCCATAGCCACAACTATCCACTTTGTGTCAACAATAGCCAGATTTTAAAAAATACAGAGAAATAGCCACTTTTTTGAAACTTTTGTGCACAATATAGCCATTTCTGTTAAATTATTTAACGCCTTCAACTCTCGGTTAGTTTAGTGGACGGTATGCTTACGTGGTCGCCACATGTGCGACCTATTTTCCACATAGACGAACTATTTCCACCTAATTAACACGTCATTATCTAAAATAAAACACCTTATCCTATAAAATCCCTTACCTCCCCTGCTGCAATTCCCGATTTCTAATTTCCCCTCTTCTTCGGTAGGTTTCCGACTCGGTCGCTCTGCCGCCGAGCCTTGTTTTCTCTCCGGTCCAGCTCGACCTCTTTCCCCTGACGACGCCCCTCTCCCTCGACCTTTCTCCCCCGATGTCACTTCTTTTCCCCGACGTCTCTCCCCAGTTGACGCCTCACTTCCTCGACCTTTCTCCCCCGACTTCTCTGCCCAGACGTTTCTCTCCCCGTCGACGCCCCTCCCTTTCGAGAACAATTGTAATCATGTCACAGAGGATTGGGAGTGGCAAATCGGTCAAGGGGGGTGATTCGGGTTCAACAAGCGTGAACAATTCAGGGCTCATCCGGTGCTTGCATAAAAAACTTGTGTCGTTCAAACCTCCGGAACTGATCTGAATCCAGGCTGGAAATTCTACGGCTGTCCTTATTGGAAGGTAATAGAAGCATAATTTTGGATGACTCATTTGGTTCTAAGCATATGTATGATGATTAGGAATGGTTTGACGATGCAGGATGCGAAGAAGAACTGCGATTATTTTAGGTGGGTGGGAACTAATGGTGATGAATCTGAGAGGCAGGACACTGAAGTGGAGGCTACAATTCTTAAGCCGGAAGAATGTATGAAGCGAGCATAGTGCAAGGCTGAGAGGAGGAAGAAGGAAAAACAACTGGTGGCTGAAGAACTGATGAATGTAATGGCGGTTCATGATCCTATGTTAACTGAGACTAGGAGCATTAAATATGATGTTAAGCTGAATCGATATATGTTGACCATTTTATTGATCATGAATGTAATGGTGCTTGTAGTCATCTGTAGTATGTAGTAGTAGTAGTAGTAGTAAGGTATTTCAGGTTGTAATGTGTAACACTCGCAGTTGTAAGCAAAGGAATGGAAGACTTTGAATGCAAGATCAATAGTATCATCATTTAGCATTCCGTGAAACCAACATTGATCAAGTGGTACATGTTCCTGATTACACCTAATTTTGACAAAATGCAAACTTCTTCAAACTAACATTGAACTTAAAGAGCATGTTCTTGATTACACCTAAAGAACAGAATGCAAACTTCAATTGTCAGAAGCATACTACCAAGTGAGTACATGTCTTGAGGATGTTCCTGATTACACCTAAATAACCGATTGTAGAGGGGGTCCTGATTACACCTAAATAACCGAGAAGAAGAGGGGGGGGGGGGTACAATCCACTCTCTCACACCATTACACAAGCCATCCAAAATACACCCCAAATACCATTACAGAAAAAATATGGCTCATGTAACATAATTGTCGTCTAAGGCTGAGATGGTGGGGGCTGACTTCCTCGCAGCTCCACCACATTTTCTTCGACAGCTCTAGGTTATTGAGATGGACCCGCTCCAACAGCTCTACCACGTGCTCCATTAAGCTGAAAAAACAGGTCGAAGGCAATTAAATTGTCGAACGTTGAAAAGGAATACTATAAGTGGTTACAAGTAGAGGTATTAAGATCTTATACTAACCCGTACATACTGGTTGCCAGTTCTCTCATTCACGTAAACTCCCACCCCAGCCGTTGCAACACACAACTCCCTTTCTATTGTCCTTCTATCAGCAACATTCAGTCTCACATCCTACATGCATTAATCTAGTATTCAATATATTGGGCAAAACTCTTCATCCATAGGATTAAGTTCAATTACATGTATCCCATTTGCTCTATTCAGAGGACAAGTCCTCGCATTGTGGGTAGGCGAGCCACATTTTGAACAATGAGATCCTCTCTTTGGCCCTTGAGCGTTGCCATCATCTTGTGGTGCAACTCGTTTTCCTCTGGCTCTTTTATTAATCTGCAACAAACATTTGAGCAAACATTTGAGCAAACATTTCACAAATTTAAGTTAGCAAATAGACAATGCATTCTCAATCTCACCACTAGTTGTGCAGCAACGGGCTCTCTCACCACTAGTTGGGCAGCAACGGGCTCTTTGCATGACCTTGCATTGTGTGATGGCAGAAATGGCATGGCAGCAAGGAAAACCACTTAGCTCCCTATAACCACAAGTGCAAGTGTATCCTAGAAGATCTACAATGTACCCATCAGCTCCCATTTTGACTTCACACTTAGCAAACTCCTTCTCCACAAGTTTCCTGATTCTCGGACACAATACATCCGCGTTCTTGCCCAACATCCTGTACTTGATCAAGACTCTGTCCATCATATATCCCCTAATGCCCTCCAACATATCTACGATCCAAAACCCCTTATACTTGACAATGCTTCCGTTCCACGTCTCGCATATATTGCTCTCAACAGAGTCACATTTCGGAACCGTTGACAAGAATGCACAAAAAATCTAGTTGGTTCAGCAGCCATGAAATCCGTATATGGGGTAGTAGCATCACCCGTACCTTCAATGGACTGCATTTCAGAAGTTGCCCTCTTCCACTCCACTTCGTTGCACGCATATATAGCCTTCCAAAACAGCTTTCGAACTCGATCAGTTTTGTGCTTCGCCTTCCAGTTGGCAAATACATGACGAGCACATTTGCGATGTTCAGCTTCATGCAAGATCTCATGAATGGCCTCAACTAAACTCTGCATTAGAACAAATTTATCAGTTTTCACCATGAATGAAAGAACCACTTAATTGAAGGTAAAGATCTCATGAATGACAGAAAGAACCACTTAATTGAAGGTAAAGAACCACAATTTCATACCTTCTGCTAGTCTAGTATAACTGTCCACCCTCTGCCATCCAAAATATAAAGATCTTGAGCTAGAGTTCGCACAAACCATGACCAAGAATCGCGGTTCTCTCCATGAACCACGACCCAAGCAATCAGAAACATCTGATTATTCCCATCTTTACCCACAGCTGTGAGGAGCATGCCCTTAACCTCCCCCTTCAAAAAACAACCATCCAAACCAAACATTAGTCGACAGCCCTCCAGAAAACCCTTCCTCAATCCAGAAAAACTGACATAGAATCGCTGAAAATAACACTTGTCACCACTTGGATGAGGATCGAATTCTAAATGGAAACAAACCATTTCATCACGTTTCTTTAATTCAGCGACGTAACTCCTCAACTTCTTATACTCTTCGACCAAAGAACCACTCAAGATCCTTATAGCCTCCACCTTTGCTCTGTAACATGTTCTCCTCTTAACCTCCATGTGGTGTTTTAACTTGACCTCAGCAACGATCTGGTCCGGTGCCCATTCAGGATTAATCCTGAATCGCTCTAGCATATCTTTTGCTATCCACTTCGCAGTTAATTGGTTAACTCGAAGCTGCCTTGAACACGAGTGTGGTTCCCCAACTTTCCTCACCATGAAACTTCGATCCTTCCTAAACCAACTTGCATACAGCCTCCACTTGCAGTTGGGTGCCTTACACTTGAACTCCCTCCTTGTCGGATTACTCCTCTACCACCTAATACTTGCACCGGCTGCAACAGAATGCTCGATTACAGCATCCTTGAACTACTCCGGACTCTCAAACTCAGTTCCACCACAAATTGTAGGGATTTGTGGTCACAAGAGGGTCATAATGTGGAGCATCATCATAAGGTTCACCACCGTTCTCTTAGACAAGTTGGGACGCACATGATCAGAATTCTCGGACAACCTATAACTTGAATGATTCGAACCCTCTTCGCCACCTTGATCAGGCCAAGATGGAGGCTGGTTGGAAAGGGAACGATTTGTTGCAGCATTCCCTGCTTCAATCCGTTCTTTCTCCTCATTCCCATTCCCTTCATTGGCAGAAAAAATCCCACTGTACACATGTTCTTAAAAAAAATTCCCAAAATACATAAGTTATAAAAAAATTTCCCAAAGTACACATGTTTGGCATTCACCGTTTTTGACAAACGCAGTGAAGATTATCACCGCTCTAAAAAAAAATGGTGACGTATTCACCGTTCTTCTCTAACACGGTGAACAACGAGCGAGTCAATCACCGTTTTAGAGGCAAACGGTGAATAGATCACCGTTTTAATGAAACACGGTGTAAATTAAGCCATTTCTATAGGCCACGATGAAGAGACGCGGATCGCTGACGTGGACAAACGCGGTGTATTCACCGCGTTAGACAAACACGGTGAATACCCCGTGTTTGTTTGCGTCAGCGATCCGCGTCACTTTTCCTTTCACCGTGGCTGTCAGATGCGGTGAGGCGCGAATTGTGATTTTCTTCTCAGATCCGACGCCTCACAGCAAGCCACGTCGCCCTTTCACCGTCTTCGATAAAGGCGGTGTATTCACCGTCTTCATCAAACACGGTGATGCTTCCCCAATTCAATTTTCGGCAGAACCCTTCCCCCCACTTACAAATCACACCACAACAATTACAATTCTTTCTCCTTCAATTTATCCGCTCTAGTCTCGTTCTAAGTATGCTTTGTGGTTGCGGCTAAGTCCGATCTTCCACATCATAAAGAATTACTAGAGTTTGACCCTAAAGCCCCCATCCCGCTAAGCTCCCGTCCCTTACAAACCCGAACCCGTCGAACCTCTGTCCGGCTTCTGCCAAAAAATGGACGAAGAGGCTCTTCGTGTAGGTTTTTGGTTTTTTTTGTGTTTTTATTTTTAATCGAAACAATTTGATTTTGTGATTTTTTTTATCAAAACAATCTCTGATTTCAATACTTTTTTTATAGATGGGTGCCGAGATATACGATCCTCGATTGTATATCCATTATGGGCCAAGAGATATGAGACTCTTAACCGATCAAGAAGCTCATCGCTCACGTGCTATTTGGGATAACAATCCGGTAATTTGATGATTTATTTGCTTTATTTATTATTTTCTAAGGTTTTATTTTGCTTTATTAAAACTAACAAATTGATGTTTTTCCTATTTTTTTGTAGGAATCACTTATTCCCGTCGTTCATAAAGGGACCACAAACTTGCCCGCTTGGCATCCACGGTTGGCGCCCTATATAGAGAGGACCGGGCTGGGTATGTTGCACAATTTCATGCGGATCGAAATCGAAAACGATCTGCTTACGGCAATGGCTGAGCGATGGCGTCCCGAAACCCATACGTTCCACTTTCCGGAGGGGGAAATGACAATCACCCTCAAAGACGTGGCGATCCTCACCGGGCTGCCGATTTCTGGAGATGCCATCATTGGTTCCACTACCAAACCCGAAGGAGGTTGGGGGCCGCTCATTTGTGATCGTTTGGGCTTTGACATGCCGACCACCACACCAATTCAAGGACGGGGGCATCCACCGTTGAATGCAGGACAAGTGTCGGTCCCGTGGCTGGTAACTCACATCCAAAATGAGGTGGAAATCAATGACGAGACTCCGGAAGATCAAGTGGAGCGCTATGCACGCATCTACCTTATTGGTTTGGTGGGTGGATTTCTGTTCCCCGACAAGTCAAACCGGTGGATTCAAGGCATATGGTTGGACTTGCTCCTTGGTTATTGGGACGCAATCAGGGAAAAGAGTTGGGGATCTGCCGTGTTAGATGGCGTATACCGAGAGCTGTGTACTTGCTCGAAGGTGGGAGCAAAACAAGCTGGTGCTGCGATGTTCATCCTACAACTGTGGGTATGAGAGCATCTTCCAATGTTACCTCTAGACCCACGTCCATACCGGAGAGCCGATGATGAGCTACACTTTCTGCAAAATCCCCCCTACGGTGTCAAGTAAGTTTATTCCGTACTTAGCCTAATTTAAAATTATTCCATGCTTAGCTAGATTTAAATTGAATTTAATCTGTACTTAGCCTAATTTAAATTTATTCCATTCTTAGCTAGATTTAAATTGCATGTATTCCGTACTTAGCCTAATTTAGATTTATTCCATGCTTAGCTAGATTTAAATTGAATTTCATCTGTACTTAGCCTAATTTAAATTTATTCCATGCTTAGCTAGATTTAAATTGAATTTATTCCGTACTTAGCCTAATTTAAAATTATTCCATGCTTTTACTTACAAGGTGGATAAGAGCAAATACGAATGACCATCAGCCTGAGCATTCGTTACTATTTTATCGTTCTGAGTTAGATAAGCTTTGGTGGAATCAGGTAATCATGCTTTATCATATTTTAACAAGTTAAATTTTTTTAATGTAAATGTTCGCTAATTGCATCATTTGAATGAATATAGGTTACTTGGGATTCATATCCACGTGAAGTGGTCGAACTACATCATCTTAGACACCCTCTGGATCACGAGACGTGGTTGTGCAATGTGCCATTGATCTGCTGGCACATCGTGGAGTGGCACCTACCCGATCGATCCTTGAGGCAATATCGAATGGAGCAACCAATTCCACAAACCCCGCCTCAAGGTTTCAAGGATCTCCATGCCATCGACCTCCGACACGCGACAAAGAATTGGCTCCTAAAGCATCAGTTCTACATCAACATCCGGGAGAATAGAGGGACATGGGTGGTCCAAGGGATGTCGGAGACGAGACCGATGGGCTACCACGATGGGTACATGCAGTGGTATCGGAAGTTCACCAATAGATGGGTGTCAAAGAAAGGTGCTGTGATGGGTTCGTTGGTAAGTCATCCTAATCTCCCTCGTGAGTCTAATTATTTTGTTTTAAGGTTTAATTAATTTTGATTTATTATGTGGATTGCTTAGGTTGATGGTTTGGAACACGCCAAACACACCCTCGATAGTGCTCCAACCATGAATAAGCGCAAAACTTCTTGGCTGCGAAGGCTTATGAACAACCTCTTGAGTTGTACCCGAGAGCAAAGGAGGGATGTCGTGGCCTATCCTCCCATTCCCGCTCCGGCACGCCCATCATTCCATGATGGTGAGCCTATTGTGCCCCCGGTTGAGTCCCCACGAAGGAGCAAACACAAGCCTCTGCCTACTTTCGAAGAGGTGCATACAACTCAAGCAACCGAGCTCCCTGAACCATTTGAGTACGAGTGGGCACCTGCACCGGATGTCGCTGGAGGGTCATCAATTGGAGGTTCATCACAGGAACCAGACATTTTCCCTCATTTCCACCATCAGCAACAGACTCCGATGTATCACACCCCGCAACAACAAACCCCTCACCACCCGATCTACCAGCAGGCTACCGATCCATCTCAGCCACCTCCACTGCCACTCATAACTCCAGTAGGGGCTCGGGTTAAGAGATATCCGCGACAAGTCGTTGAGCGAGCCCGCCAAGAAGCAGAAGGAGGAGGTGGAAGAAGGGGTCGAGGACGTCGTGGAGGGCGAGGCGGAGGGCGAGATTGGGGCCAAAATGAGG